CTGATAAAAACGTGCTGGTGTAAGGCCTAGAACTACTGCAGTTATTTTCGTATCATCAAAATGTCCAGGATGTAAGGAAGAGCATAGCAAAGAAAATTACAGAAAAAAAGAGACGGAATCTTAATCAAATTGTACTTGAAGCCAGATACCTTCTGGATACAAATTACTGAAGTAAGAATGGGCGAATACTTCTTAAACTTGACAAAAATATATACATTATAAGAAGAGGCTCCTCATGGTTAAGGGATAAACATTAGAAGCATTTCCATTAAAATCAGAAAAAAGACAAGGAAGTCAGTTATTTCACAATTATTTAACATTTTTCTGTAAGTACTAGTTAATGCAATTACCCAAGAGAAAAAAATGCAACATTAATATCGGAAAGGAAGAGGCAAAGTTATCATTATTACAAATGAAACAAATCTAAAAGAATCAACTAAAAACCACTTGAAACTTTAGGAGCACCATAAAAAACTTGGTTATAAAATCAATAAACAAAAACTAATCACTTTCATGTATATAAACAATAGATTAAGAAATCCAACTTAAAATAGCCATGGAAAAATATAAACTACTTAGGAATAAACTTAACAAAAAATCTGCAGGATATTTCCATTCATTCAGAAAACATACTGATAACCTACAGTGTGTTTTACAATGTTTTAGGAGTAATTTGTTTAAATGTAGAAACTTTTGAGAAAAATTAATGAAGACAAATAACTAAAAATACTGAGTTCGTCAATAGAAAGATATTCTTGTAAAGATGCTAATTACCCCTCAGTTAATATATAAATTACATGTAATCCAAATTGAAATTAAAAGTAAGATTTTTAGGGGATTTTTAACAAAATAATGCATTTTAATTTCCAAATAAATGCATATGAATAGGCAGGTAAATTATGAAAAAAGAAGAGTAGAGAGACCTTACCCTTCCAGATATTAAAACTTATGATGCAAACACAATAATTAAAGTAGTTTGGTACCTAAAAAGAAATAAAAACAGATTAGAAGAACATAATAATGAATCACAAAGTAGATCCAAATGCATGTGGATACTTATATTATGATAATTATGATAAATGTGGCACTTTGAATCAGTGAGCTAAAGAGAGGATTATTTGATAATTAGTATTAAAACAATTTATTAACCATTTGGAAAAAATAATTCCACATGGACCAAAAATTAAGATATTAAAGGAAATATTAAAATCAGAAGAAAATATAGGTCTTCATAAGCAGGATACAAACCTCAAAAGTGTAAAGAAAAAAGTTGATAAATTTAGTACCATAAAGATGAAAAAATTCTATATAGTAGAAGTTCTAAGAAAATTATAAACTGGGAAAATATTGATAACGCTTCTGAGAGTTAAAGGACAAATTTTCCTAATTTATAGAAAGTTCTTATGTATTAATAGGAAAAATGAACAACCTCATAAAAAATGAGGACAATTCCCAGAAAAAACAAATATAAATGGCTAACAAACCTCTGAGAAGATGCTTAATTTCACTCGTTAAAAAAATTAAATCTTTTGAAGCACAACATAAGATATATATAGCACCACAATTGCCTAAATATATGTATATAAAAGTCTTCATTGCAGTAGTTTTATAATAGATACAAATTTGGAAGAAGGTAAATATCAATCAGTAATAGATTGGTTAAATTTTGGTAAATCCACACTACAGAATAGTAGTGTAACTGACAAAAGATGTACTTGATGTAGTCTGTGAAAAAATGGTTTGTAGAATAATATGCATAGTATAATCTCAAATTATTTTAGAAGGATATATGTATACATACGTATAATGTTTCAGTGTATATATTTTGTTGATATATATAGAACCACAAAATGTGGAAAGAATCAACTGAAAAGTTATCAGTGACTTTCATAGGATTTATCCTAGGATTGAAGTGGCAGTAGTTATCAAAGAAATGGGGAAATCGAGACATTTTTATTTTCTGCCCTTCTCTTTTCCTAGTTAACATCTGCTTTCCTTCATCTCAGCTGAAACTTTCATTCCCTCTGCACCAGCAAGGAAGTCCTTCCAGATCCCCAGACTATGTCACTTACTTTACTATATTAATAGTGTTTCTTGCCTTTTCAGTATTTTTCTGTTTGTGTGTATGTGGTTATTTCATTAAGGTCTTATTTCCAATATCAAAGCAGAGTCTGTGTCTGTTTTTGCTCACCAGTGTATTTCCCATATGCTCACCACTGTGGCAACTCTCCCTACTTTCCTCTCCCTCCCAATATTATGATGTGAATAATTGAATTTTTCTCAGCCTTATTATAAAGGGTTATGAAAGTGCAGTTTTAGGCAACCCCCAAATCAAATATACACAGATGAAGAATGCATCAGAAACCAACAGTAGCTGTCAGTTCACACTAAATGGTGAAATATCAGGAGAACCTAAATCACTACCACCATTCAACCTAGCTCTGGAGGTTCTGGTCAGTGCAATTCATGCAGAAAAAGAAAGAATAAAAAAACTATAAATATAGGAAAAAAGAAATGAAATAGCATAATTTGAAGATATTATGTATACATACCTAGAAAAACCAAAGGCTTCAACTAAAAGACTATTAGAAATAATAAGAAAGTTTATTAAACATAAATGTCATAATTACTTTTTTTAAAAGACAGGCAGTAGCCTGGTACAAAATGTAATCATAATGGGAATGCCATTCATGAAAACAAACAAACAAGCAAACCAAAAATAATAAAAGACTGAGGGATCAACTTGGTAGTAGAAAGAAACATGACATTTATCAAAAATCACAAAAGTTGACATGGATAGAAAGACTCAATTTTTAAAGAAATATCAATTCTCAAATTAAAGGGCAGATTTATTGCAAGTACTGCACTAAATGTCAATTGTTTTATTTTATATATTGTTGTTCAACTTGGAGCTTGACACAACCACATACTCTTTATATTTATATGAAGAAAGTGGATATTGTTAAAAATGCTTGGTGGTATAACAGGCATTGCAGGGCACTTCACATTCTACTTTGTACGTCTATGCACATTTAAAAAAAAATAAATAAATGTGAGCCGGGCTCGGTGGCTCAGCCTGTAATCCCGTACTTTGGGATGCTGAAGTGAGTGAATTGCCTGAGTCCGCGGGTTCGAGACCCACCTGAGCAACTTGGTGAGACCTCATCTCTACAATAAATAAAAAAAATCAGCCGGGCATGGTAGTGCGTGCCTGTAATTACGGTTACTCAGAAGGCTGCGGCGGAAGGATCGCCGGAGCCCAGCAGATCGAGGCCACGGCGGCTGGGAGCAGCCACTGCACTCCAGTCTGGGTGACAGAGTGAGATTCCAACTCAAAAAAAAAAAAGTGTATAACTAAAAGCAGAAAAAGGGGAGGAAGATAAGTGTCTATTGAGGGGATGCATATTTGTCTTTCTAGGAAAGTAGTTCTTAGTTGTTTTTTAAAGTCATATATGCCTGTGAGAATCTGATGAAAGCTATGACTTTCCCACTAAAATGAGCATACATATCCACACAATTTCAGGTGGCCCACAGAGTTGCCGGGTGAAAACATCTACTCTAGGTTATTCAGTGGGGATTGTTCCTCGGGCCTGGGCATACATTTGTTTGGGGGCCACCAAGGTGAATGTGGACTGACAGGCAGTGATCCCGCAACAAGATTAGGTTTTCCATGTGTGTCCTGAAGTTAAAGCAGCCAGTGGTAAGAGGCCCAGGTCAGGAGGTGGCAGCACACAGTGTCAGGAGCATCATTCACCTAGACATTGTGAATAAGGGCAAAGGGAGGGGTATGTGGAGACAGTAATCCCCTCTAAGTATTGCTGAGTTTCCTCTGTGGGAATTTGGGAGAAGAAAGAAAGGAGCGAAAGGTATTCACTCAAGTTGGTCACCTGTGTAAAGGTGGCATTTACCACCTTGGTCACTGTCCGTGCATATTTTTGGAGTGAGCAACAGACAGGTGTCTGAATACAGGAGATGAGAGGCTCTGGAATGTAGGAGGGATGGAGGGCAACACCTTCCCTGCCTCTTGACAGGGCAGGGTGGATCCAACTATCACTGCACCCCTCACACCCTCAGCTGCCTAAGCCTTAGTAGACTGGAATGCAACCCTCTTAGTAGAGAAGCCATCAAATCACAAGAGGTTCAGACAACAGCTAGCCAAGACTTTGGGACATTATATGCATGTTTTTCTTTAATTAAACAAGACAGGATTGTGTCACTTTCATCAAATCGCAAGTTAATTCAAAAGTAGAAAAAGTAATGAATCATTTGTGTAAGATGGCTAAGATTAGACAACTGGTCATCTTTTTGTGAGCTAATTCATAGAATATGTGAACATTTTCAATTTTTGATTTTGAAAATGAATTCGTATGTTTTGAAAACTGCTATTTGACCGTAACCAGTAGACATATTTTCTCGTGTTACAAATAAATATAATACAATCAATGAGGCCCTTTGGGATTTTCTTTCCCACTTAAATTCTCCTCCGCTCAAATGAGAATAGCATAATTTCATTTTCTCAATATAAAAATAATGCATTACTGATTTTTTTTTAAGGAACAGAAAAGTTTATTTAAGACCTTCCTACTATCTGTCGTCTTTTCTGAGATCTTGCCTTAATTTGGTATAGGGGTGCGAAGGAAATGTTGGACCTTCATGCTGGGGTGAGGGGGAGAGGTGAAGGGAAAGGCAACTGAATCCGGAGTAGAGAAGAAAGAAAATTACTCCTCCAAGAGAAAAAAAAAAAAAGGCCATTGGACATAGAAGCAGACGCAGGCTCTCCCTGTTAATCGAAAAAAGGCAAGTTTCAATCACAACGAGAAGCACTTCTGGTCTCCGGGTGGCAAAGAGGAAAATGAGTGGCAGGACCCGATGTGGCAGGGAAGGAAGGGGGAGGGCCGGCTCCTGCCGCACTGCTGGTGGGTGTGGTAATTGGGGTCCTGATCTCACGGGTGACGTGGCTCTCACGTGAGCTGGGATCGACGTGTGCAGACGTCCTTCTAATCCTAGTTTTCGTTAGGTCCGGTTGCCCTCTCCCTATTGCCCAGAGGGCGGGCGGGTCTGTGTCGGGGGAAGGAGGAGGAGGTATCTGCCTGAATCCCAGCAGGTCTGTGTGTGGATGGATGGGCGCTGCTTGGGGATCCCTGCAGTGTGGGCATCAGAGGGTGGAGGCTGAAGGGGGGCACAGCCCACTTTTCCACACCCTTGAAGTGTCCCCAGCCCTTCCTAGAACAAAAATGGTGGACCGTGGGCCCAGATTCCAGGGGAGACCCCAGACTAGGGTGGGGGGTGTGGCGTGGCATCCAGAGCCTTGAATAGAGAAGGGCAGGTATTAGGATTCGTCTCCTGTGTTCTGGTTCATCTAGCAAGCCAGAACCTTGGAGCCGTGCGTCTGTTATTCTCCCTGCCTTTTAGTAGGGCACTGAGTCCATTTGCAACAAATGAATAGTCAGCCTTGAATCCCTGCAGGTCAGTGTAAAGCCGGGGTTGCTCCGCGGCCCCCCTCCCAAGGGCGGGGATGGCTGAGGTCCTCGTCTTAACTTGGGTTCATTACTGACTCTCCAACAATCTCCCTGCCATTTTTGCAGTATAAAGGATGTAACAGTGCCTACAGGAAAAAAAAAAATGACTGTCATTGGGGAGAGGGACAGAAGATACCCTTTTGGTTTTCTTTCGCTCCTCGGGTCTTCCATATTCCCTCGCTCCGCCTCCTTTTCAGTAGTTTGAAAGGGGTGTGGTTTTTGCTGGGAAAATGGCCGATCTCTGGGGACTGAGGCTGGGAGTGAGGCAGGGTAATGGGGGAGGAGAACTGGAGGACAGGGGGGTGGGGATGAGTAGACACAGCGCAGCTAGAAGGCTGGTGTCAGCGGAGTCCAGAGAAGTGAGATAGGGGGAGAGACAAAAAAGGTAAAATCCGTTTGATAACCAGGACCCTGAATTAGGAAAAGCTGGTATTAGGACTCTCTGAAGTGCTGTTCTGCCGCTGAGCCATCCGTCTCTGCGGTGGTCGCCTCGTGTTTGTGGATCTTGCTCCTGAAGGCCGATCCAATCCTAGGAGCAGCAGGAAGAGGAAAACTATCCAGGACCAAGTAGGCCAGAGTGAAGGCGGTGGCACTGTTTTGGGACCCCTGGGGTGGAGGATGGTGACGACTGCAAACTCCAGTGGGCCCATGGACTACCTCCGCCTTCGGTTCTCTCTGTAAAGTGCTCTGCAAGTACAAGACTGGGAAGAAGGTGACTGGGAGGGGGCGGGTGTCAAGAGAGTACTGGGTGGGGGTGGGGAAGACATTACTCCAAATTGCTGTTTGGAGTACAGTGCCCTTGGTGTTAGTTAGTTCGTCCGATAAGCCCTCAGTTTGTCAGTCCCTAGGTTTGGTGGAGGCGGAAACCGAGATGAGGGAGGAAGGAAATTGCTCCGGAGCAGTGGAAGTTGCTATAATGGGGATGAAGGGGGGTTTTCCTGGTGCCTTTGAGATGCTGGGGGTGATGGAGGCAGGGGTGGAGTTCCAGAACTTTCTGCTTCTAGATACTCTCACCACCCTTCATTTGATTTATTTATTTTTAACAAGGAAGGAGGAGTGGCATCACCTTCGGAATTTGTGACTGATGAGGATGGGGATGGAGTGGGGGTTTGGAGGAGGAGGGGATCATTGAAGGAGAGGAGTGAGATCATGAATTTCAAAGCCACAGCTCTGTGAGGAGAGGAGAGTAACCAAAGGTGGAATTCACTGGGCAACCCAGCACAAGGGTTAGGGATTCAGAAAAGGGATGTGTGTACCATCCTAGGTGAGGACCATCTGTCTCCTGGGAACTCAGCATCCCTCTCTCCACCTTTTTGTCTGCAGGTTTGCTGGACACAGTGCACTTGAAGACGAGAAAAAGAAGGAAGAAACTGTCTGGATCTCTGTGGATGTATGTGAGTGCACCACTGCCCCAGGACATCTAGAAAAACAGGGGTGGTAGGGAACTAATCAGATACTTTAAATCTAACGTTTTCAGTGGGGTGGTGGGACATAAGGTTCCAGAATCTGGAGGTGAGGAAAATTTCCAAAATTAGCTTCCCAATGGAGGAAAGGATCAGTGATTTAGATATCAAACCCTTAGACCTTACCAATATTCCCAAATTTTTGTATGTTTGTCGGCTGGGGAGTTCAGCCTGCATGCAAAGGCAAAAAAGGAGGAAGTGTCTAAGGCCTGATATCTTTTCTTTTATTCCTAGGTCTCCACTATATCTGCAGCTGCAGCAGAGCCTGCCAGCAGTAACTGAAGATTCCGCCCCCAACACGTGCCCTCCTCTGGGCCAGAGCAAGCCTGTTCTGTACCCAGGTTAAGAGGTTCGCCCTGGCTGTACCATGGGCCGCACTCGGGAAGCCGGCTGTGTGGCTGCTGGTGTGGTCATCGGGGCTGGTGCCTGCTACTGCATGTACAAACTGACCTGGGGAAGAGATGAGAACGAGAAAATCTGGGATGACGACAAGGAGTCTAGTGACACCTCAGAGACTGGAGTTGAGACTGGGAAAGGAGCTAAGGCTAACATTGGGGCAGAGTCCGGAGCCAAATTTCAGGGTGACTCAAAGGCCAAGGCCGAGGTGAGTTTGGGACTCGAGAGTTGTCCAGGTGTAAAAGAGGAGGCCCACACAAGATCCCAAAGCGGAGGTGGCCTAGAGGCCAAGGCCAAGGCCCTTTTCAACACCCTGAAGGAACAGGCAAGTGCTAAGGCCGGCAAAGGGTCCAGAGTGGGCACCATCTCTGGGAACAGGACCCTTGCACCAAGTTTACCCTGCCCAGGAGGCAGAGGTGGAGGCTGCCACCCCACCAGGAGTGGAGCTAGGGCTGGGGGCAGGGCAAGTGGAAAATCCAAGGGAAAGACCCGTAGTAAGAGCACCAGGGTTCCAGCTACAACGTGGCCTGTCCGTAGGGGCAAGTTCAACTTTCCCTATAAAATTGATGATGTTCTGAGTGCTCCTGACCTTCAGAAGGTCCTTAATATTCTGGAGAGAACGAATGATCCTTTTATTCAAGAAGTAGCTTTGGTCACTCTGGGTAACAATGCAGCATATTCATTTAACCAAAATGCCATACGTGAATTGGGTGGTGTCCCAATTATTGCGAAACTGATAAAAACAAAAGACCCCATTATTAGGGAAAAGACTTACAATGCCCTTAATAACTTGAGTGTGAATGCTGAAAATCAGGGCAAGATTAAGACATATATCAGTCAAGTGTGTGATGACACCATGGTTTGTCGCTTGGACTCAGCTGTGCAGATGGCTGGACTAAGACTGTTAACCAACATGACTGTGACTAATCATTACCAACATTTGCTTTCCTATTCTTTTCCAGACTTCTTTGCTTTGCTATTTCTGGGAAATCACTTCACCAAGATACAGATTATGAAACTAATTATAAACTTTACTGAAAATCCAGCCATGACAAGAGAGCTGGTCAGTTGTAAAGTACCATCAGAATTGATTTCCCTCTTTAATAAAGAATGGGATAGAGAGATTCTTCTTAATATCCTTACCCTATTTGAAAATATAAATGACAACATAAAAAATGAAGGGCTTGCATCATCCAGGAAGGAATTCAGTAGGAGTTCACTTTTTTTCTTATTCAAAGAATCTGGAGTTTGTATTAAGAAAATCAAAGCATTAGCAAATCACAGTGATCTGGTAGTGAAAGTAAAAGTCCTAAAAGTATTAACCAAACTCTAATTTGGGTTTATCTCAAACAGTGTTGAGGTAATTTTTTAGTTTGCACTTGGTAACAATGTGTTTTGTAAATTCTTTCTTTTTCACTGTGCTTATATGTAAAAGAGATTTTTTTCATCTGTTAGGGAATAATGAATATCACAGACCATCAATAGTGATTGGTGCTGGTTGTGATGGTTGGGTTTAGGCTGGACCATTTTAAGAATGGCAAATGAATATTACAGCTTATGCACAGAAAGCATTTATTGATTTGATCTTGCTACCTAGATTGAGATATTTTTACTCTTTCCTCTACCTAAACTATATAGTGAACTAATTATACATCATGAATACGCTACACGTTTGTATTGGTTTACATTTGTTCATCTAAGACTTGCGCTTCATCAATAAAGTTGTGTTTTAAGCAGCAAAAAATGTCATTGCCCTTGTCTTTGAGTTTATGATCTGTTTGGAAAGGCAAGATATATGGAAACAAAAACAAAGAGATGGTAACAAAGCCGGAAACTCCTCAGTGCTTGGAGGCAGCGGAAATTGCTGCAGGCAACAATACTCAGAGAAAGTTTCACAGGGGAGGAGATACTTAAATAAACTGGACTTGAAGGATAAGATACAAAAGGGCCAGAAGGGCACTCAAGGAGGGAGCAGTGGTGGGAAGAAAGGCATGGAGGTGAGAATTCTGCTCCAGAGGAGTCTAGCCTGCCTGGAGTGGAAAGTGCGAGGAGGGGAGTGATGGGAGATAGAGCCAGGCAGTAGGGGTGAGTCTCCTCCGTGGAGCACCCCTGATTGCTAAACTGGGCTATCTGAATATTACCCCATCCACCCCTGGGAGCACCAAGGCCTTTTGTAACCCGGAATAACAGAATGAAAGGAAAACAATGTGGTCTATTTGTGTGCAGGATGGATCTGAGCTGGGGTGGGGACAGGAGTGATGACTGGAGATTGGAAAACCAGTTAGGACACTACCACAACGGTCCAGGCATGAGATGATAAAGGTGTGAAATTTCAACCGGTGGTGTGGGAATGGTAAGGAGAGGATAGAAGTGAGAGACCGTTTGAGCCAATAAGGGCTGGGATCTACTCTGGGGACGTACAAAGACGGCCAATTTTATTTTGGAGTGCTGGGGGCATTTGATAAGAAAACTTCCTCTTTCTCGGCCAGTTCTGGTGTGTATGTAAGTGGATCAGATAGTGCTGCTTTGAAGTAATAAGAAAATATAGGAGAAAGAATAAGTTTTAGTGCTTGTATCAAATTTCTTGAATAAGGTTGGTTAAGGTGGAGCTTTTATGGAACCATCAACAGTGCTGTTGGAATCCACATAGGAGAAGAATCCACCTCTCTCCCACCCGATGTTGATGAGGGCATGGGGGGAGGAGCACTGGCAAACTGTGCTGGTGGAAGTATACTTGGTGCAAAGTTTATTGGGACACATGCTTCAGAAGCCTTCAAGATGTGCATACTTTTTGACCTGGTAATTCACTTGTAGGAGTTTATCCTTAGGAAATAATCAAATAATTGGCTTGTGCAAAGCTGTGCATCTTCAAACTTTTGAAGGGTGAAAAATGGTAAATCACTCAAGTGTCTCAAAGTAGTTGGCTAAACAAATTAACTTATGTCTACACATTTAAATATTATGCAGTTGTTGAAAATGTTGATGGACACCTACATTTACTTATAGGAAAAATTCAGCATATTATCTTAAGTGGGAAAAATAGACTTTAAAAGCACATGCCATACTTTCTATGAAGAAAAAGTATGTGCTTGAATTATTTCTATGTATCAACTTTGGTGCATACTTGGAGAATGTTAATTGTTCTCTATGGGTGATTTTATCTTTTTTTTAACTCATCAAATTAAGGTATATCTGCCTATAACATGTGCGTTATAAATTGTCAACCACAGCATTGAAAATATTAATAGATACCTACATTTATTTACATGGAAAAAGTCCAACTTATAATCTTAAGTGGAAAAAATAATTACATGACTATATACATAGTATATTTTATTTTTGAGACTTATAAAACATTTGCATACATTAAAACCTCTGAGTCGCTGTGTACCCAAATGAGAGCAGTAGTTATCTATGAGTCAAATGATAATGCATGGATTTAATATTTTAATATTTCTTTCTCATCTATGTTTTCTTATCTGTGATAGATATTGAGTTTTTGTGTAATTTTTAGGAAAGAAAAAATGTTGAATACAAGTAAGTTTTAAAATTAAGACGACAGCAGTTTGGGAGAATGGGGGAGTGGAAAATACTGAGACCAAAAAGAGAGATGTGTTAAAATGATAGCTGCATTGTGAAGATGTGGATAACATCACATTGGGGTAATGTATGTAAAATTCTAAAATAGGGAGAAATAACAGTTAATTAAATTACTAAAAGTGAGCACCCTTCCCTAAAAGACAGAGTTGATAATTTTTGGATTACCGTTTTTTCTAAGGTGTCATTCTACCATACACAAATGGCATTTAATAAATAAACTGTTAAAAAATTCCTCTGAGGAGTAAGGTCTTTCTTCCTTTTTAGAAATGAAAATGATTTCTTGATGTGATCTCATCAATTTCTACAACATTCCTCCCGTCTGGGTGATGTTACTGTGGCCTAAGTCAATGTTTCTCAAAGTAGTGTTGGTGAAATTCTTGGAATGCATGTACATGTTTTTGGGCTTCACAAGTTCCCCATAAATGTCTTTTCAATGTTCTGTTTTCATTTCACTGATAATTTAAATAAATTATTAATATATTCTGTATTTTCAAATGTTATCCAGTGACTTAGGAACCAAATATTGGATTTATGTTAAATATTATTGTGGTATTAAGTAGCACTATTTTATTCAGTAATCATAAGATAAACTTTTCATTATTTAGTATTTCTAAAGTTATTAAGCATCTTACAATTGATACCACCTTAGCATTGTCATATTTAATTAGAAGTGTTTTTTCTTAGTGGTATATAAAATAATGATGCATTTAATAATCAAAGGCATTGTAGATCAATGAAATTCTGTTTCTTGTCAGTGAGAAAAATGCAAAAATATACTTAATACACAAAGGAGGCATTTGTTCTATAATATATCATTTTGTACTTACAGAAGTTTTGCAGAAGTTTGAGTCAGGAAACTGGCAGAGGGTTGAGACTAGGTCATCAGGCCAATGAAGAAACATTTAATCAAGAATCCATGTTGTTGTCATCAGTAACATATTAATGTTACAGACTGTGACTTAGGGTAACCAAAGCAACATTATCAATTTCATGAAATTAATGTTATTTAACTTTCTTTGGTTATGTAGCTTGGTTTATTTTTAATTTGTGAGGATGTTTTGTTTTATATTTTGTGTGAAAGCTATAAGCAAAGGCATTTATGTCTTGTTTTAGATGTGTAAATATTTAAGTGACACTATAATAAACATGATTTTGGACAATGATATGGGCCCTTGAGGAGTTTTATTCTTTTTAGAATAACATTTCTGAAATTTGGTAAGCAATGCATTTATTATAGAAGAAAAGAGATGAGTAGTACCTAATAGCTGTCAGACACTGGGACTTTACATAGTTTTTCTCTTCATTCAATCCTTTAACCATCCTGTCAAGTAAATACTATTATACCTTTTTTTCAGAAGAAACAAGACTTGGAGAAAGTAGATAAAATTTCCAGGATCATTCTCTTAGCACGAGGGAGGACTAGTGACCTTTCAAACCTGAGCAATTGGTTATTTCAAAATTGCTTAGTATGAAGCCAAACACCTGTATAATGTCTCTATAGGTACTCGACACAAAATCACTCCTTGACGAAGAGGGAGATGGAAATGAGAGTCTTTACATTGAATCCATACCTTTACAGATACACACACAGCAAGGTGTAGAGGAAAGAGTAAAATCTCAGGAATTGCCAATAGGTAAGGGTCAGGTAAGAAACAAAAAAACTGGTTTTTATCTTGCTGTTCCTATGTGATAGGCAGAATGAGCAGTTTGGGTATGGAGTAAATAATAATAACTTCTATACCAATATGTTTAACTTAAGGGTGGACAGACTCTTATACCTGGGGTGAAAATGAGGTTAACTGGAGTAGTAAAAAGCCCACTGAAGCAGGTACAGGCCTGACTAGCACCCAGCTGCTTCTTTTTCTCTCTCCTTGTTCCTTCTCATTCCTTTGCCTCCCTCACACTTGTCTTTATTTGCTTCTTCTGAGATATCATTGGTGGCCTCTCTGTGCTTCTGTGTCTTTCAGAGTGGCTGTTTAATTCCCATGACAGCATGCTATGAACCAGTGATCATTTAATATAGAACAATACCTGTTGTTGCTATTTTACAAAGGAGGAGTTTAGTTTCGTTATAAATTGTCTTTCTTTCTTTCTTTCTTTCTTTCTTTCTTTCTTTCTTTCTTTCTTTCTTTCTTTCTTTCTCTCTCTCTTTCTCTCTCTCTCTCTCTCTCTCTCTCTCTCTCTCTCTCTCTCTCTCTCTCTCTTTCTCTCTTTCTCTCTTTCTCTCTTTCTCTCTTTCTTTCTTTCTTTCTTGGTTCATATTTTATCTGCTTTGTTTCAAAAGAGATTCCAAGTATAGATTCAGCAAGTTGATGTGGTTCAGACACATTTTATGTTTATGGCCAGTACCATGCTGTATTAATTACTATAAGTTCATAGTAAATCTTTTTTTTTAAGTTTTATTTTATTTTAAAGATGTGGGGTACAATTCAGGATTAGGTATACAAGTGGCCATTGTACAGGTAAAGTTTGGGCCTCCCTTTGGTCCCCACTTCACCTGGTTTGGGATCAGGTACCCTTATTGATATTGTGTGCCCCCCTCCCCTGGCAGTTTCCCACTACTGCCAATCTCTTTCTTATAGTATTATGATAAAAGTTTAGGGTCTGCTAATGAGTGAGAACATATGGTACTCAGTTCTTTGTTTCTGTGTTAGATCACTGAGTATTATAGACTCTAAGTCCATCCAGGTTGGTGTGAAGTCCATAGTTTTGTCCTTCTTTATGGCTGCATAGTATTCTTTTGTGTATATGTACCAAATTTTAAAATTCCAGTCTAGTTTCAATGGGCAGCACAGTTGGTTCCATGTTTTTGCTATTGTGAATAGTGCTGCAATAAACATGCGTGTGCAGGTATGCTTTTGCAGAATGATTTTAGTTCCTCTGGGTATATTCCCAGAAGGGGGATAGCTGGATCATACGGAAGGTCAGTTTCTAGTTCTTTTAGGAATTGCCACACTGTTTTCCATAGAGGTTGGACTAGTTTGCATTTCACCAACACTGTAGAAATGTTCCCTTTTCTCCACATGCTCGCCAGCATCTGGTAAGTAATAGCTTATTAGTAATTCTTATCTTCTCTCCTTTTCTCTCTGTTAGCCAGGCTATAAGTTTATCAACTTTATTGATCTTTTCAAAGGACCAG